CCCAGCGAGCCTGCTGCGCCAGTCACCCGTGGGTCAGTTGCTCCAGCCGCTCGGCGTAGCCGCGGAGCCAGTTACTCCTGTAGTCCGGAGGCTACAATCTCTGGTAGCCACTGAGCCAGCCGCTCCTGTTGCCCGTGTGTCTGCAGCTTCAGCCGTCGCCTCCCATCTCCTCTCCTCTCACAGTCACTCCTCCTCCTCACTTGCCCTCTGCGACTGCTTCTAGCTTTACTTGTGCTTGTGAACTATTTTTTGACTACTTGCTGTGCTGATTATACCCCACTTTGACTATGGGGGTGTGTCAGAATGTTATATTTCTCTAGTCTGCAGTGTGGTACTCTATAGTGAGTACAGCCCTGTTAAGGTTTGCTATATGTACTCAACTGCCTGCTAGTGAAACCCCTTCTCTGTTTCAATCATTCCTCGTTCCATCTTTCACATAAATATTACTACAAAAAGCACATGACGGGATCACCTCAAGACATTTCGGGGTCGGAATATCACGACACCAGCTGCAGTGATATTATTACTGGCCTGAGATGCTGACCGACGTGCAACGACACGTGACATCATGTCCCACCTGTCAGCTCATGAAGTCGTCACGACAACGACCGACAGGGCAGTTGCAGCCGATACCACCCCTAGAGCGTGCTTGGCAGCAGGTGACGATGGACTTCGTCACGGGGTTACCGGCTGGGGCGAGTGGGAATGACGCGATCCTGGTCATCGTCGATTGGCTCACGAGAATGGCCCATTTCGCAGCATGCAAGAAATTGATCTCAGCCGAAGAAACAACACGACTCTTCATCGCCACCGTCGTTCGACTGCACGGAATACCTGCGGCGATCATCAGCGACCGAGACATGAAATTCACCAGCAACTTCTGGCGGAACCTGTGGCAGCAGTTCGGCACGCAACTACAATTCAGTTCATCATATCACCCTGAAACTGACGGTCAGACAGAGCGGACCAATCAGACCATGGAGCAATTAATACGAGCCACGTGCGACGACCCAACTACGTGGGAGCAGCAGTTTTCGCTCATAGAGTTCGCGTACAACAACTCCACGTCAGCAACCACGCAGCAGTCACCTTTATACCTCAATTACACGCAGAATCAAACAGTGCCCATGACACCGAATCCCGACAACACAGTACCACGTGCGCAGCAGTTCGCCGAGATTTTACAAGCAGCAGCCCGGACCCGAGCAGCAGAAGCCATCAAAAAGCCGAACGTCGTCGCTAAGCGCAACGCCGATCGCCATCGCCGTCCCGTCACTTACCAGCCCGACGACCTCATATTACTCGACACCCAAAACCTCCGCCTACCCATCACCCCAAAATTACGCCCAATATATTGCGGGTCATTTCGTATCAGCCATATGATCACCCCCGTCACCGCCCACCTCCTCCGGCCCGCTGACTGGTACGTCAGCGTCCAGAAGGTTCTCCTGTGGCGGTAGAGTCTCGTAGGCGCTCGGCTTTGTGCTGCCAGTCTGAAAGGAAAGTGGCTCTGATAGCCAAGTGTTACTGGTGCAATGAATCAAGGTAACGAGGATTGCACTAAGTTGGCAAACGAGTACAAAATCTGAGCGAAGGCATGAGCGAACATATACCGAAGCATGCAAACGGTAACGCGGTGCGTGCAAGCTAGATAGTGCGATGCTGGCAGCGAGGTTCTGGCTAGCCCCAAAGCGTATGCCGACTCGTGCCAGTCCAGCGATGCATGGTTTGGGAATTGTGACGTGCGAAGGCGGCGAAACACCGTTAGCAGTAACGGGCGAAGAAACGGTCGGTTTGTACGCAATGTTGAGATGCACGGCAAGGAATGCTGAAAATTTCTTTGCAGGCATAAAGTTGTAGAAATAAATATGGAATCGCCGTATTTGTTTTCTCGTCGCCCTCGCACACGCCCCGAAACTCCCTCCTGTCGCCCTTCCTCTCTCCCATCCCGTCACTCCCCTCGTCGCCCTCGCACACGCCCCGAAACTCCCTCCCGTCGCCCTTCCTCTCTCCCATCCCGTCACTCCCTCCCGTCGCCTTTACATCTCTCCCCTCCCATCCCCCTGTTAGAATAAGCAGGCAGGGATGGTAAGAACAGAAGAAGGGTTTGCACTAGCAGGCAGGTGGGATACATATAGGAACCCTAAAAGGGTTGTACTCTCTGTTGAGTACCCCACTATAGCCTACACAGCAAATAACGTTTTGACACACCCCCATAGGCGAAGTGGGGGATAGCCAATACAACAAGCAGTCGCAGGACCAGTTCACAAGCAAAGCCTAGTGGCAGAAACAGTGGGCAAGTGAGGTTGAGGAGGGACCAGGAGAGAAGAGGAGGAGGTGGGCGGCCGCTGAAGCTGCTGGCACACGACGCAAACTGGAGTGGCGCACGAACAACTGGTGCAACTGGTACAAGGGCAACTGGAGTAACTGGCTCTGCTCGCCGGCAAGAGCAACTGACCCACGGGCGACTAGAGCAACTGGCACACAGGCTCCTGACGCAACGGACTCACGGGCGACTGCAGCTGCAGACTTCACGACGGCTACCTCCGTTCAACCTCCCCCCATTGCCCCAAACCCCCTTTTCACATCCCCCTCTGCATCCCTAGCACCACTCCCTCAGCTCCCACACCATCCTCCCCTCAGCGGCAGCTGCAGCAGTGGGAGAGAAAGGAGGAGGAGCAGCCGATCACTCACGCCCGCCACCCCCATACCCTCCCCCCCACGGGTGCACGCGCAGTAGGGAGATGAAGGAGAAGAGGGGGGGGCGGGGTAGGAGCTGCCCCGCGACTGCAGAGGCAGGCGCGCGGGCTGCAGAGGCAGGCGCGCGGGCTGCAGAGGCGGCGCACGGGCTGCAGGGGCAGCGCACAGGCTGCAGGGGCGGCTAGCGGGGTGCAGGGGCGGCTCGCTGGCTGAAAACCGCCGCCCCCTCGAGGCGCGCGGGAGCCACGGGGCGGCGCGCGGGTCCCACAGGGACGGCGCGCGGGTCCACGGGGGCGGCGTGCGGGTCCCACGGGGGCGAAGCGCGGGTCCACGGGGGCGACGCGCAGGTCCACGGGGGCGACGCGCGGGTCCCACGAGGACGACGCGCGGGTCCACGGGGGCGACGCGCGGGTCCACGGGGGCGACGCGATGGATGCACGGGGGCGGCGCGACGGGTGCACGGGGCGGCGCGCCGAGCAGAAAACCGCCGCGCGCCCCGGGGCGCGCGGGGGGCAGAAAACCGCCGCGCACCACGGGGCGCGCGGCGGGCTGAAAACTGTCGCGCGCCCGGGGCGCGCGACTAACAGAATAGCAGCGGAAGCAGTAGGGTGGGCCCATCCACAGGATCGACCAAGGAGGGTCGACCTGCTCTGATACCATGTTATAATAAGCAGGCAGGGATGGTAAGAACAGAAGAAGGGTTTGCACTAGCAGGCAGGTGGGATACATATAGGAACCCTAAAAGGGTTGTACTCTCTGTTGAGTACCCCGCTACAGCCTACACAGCAAATAACATTTTGACACCCCCGCGTCGTCACCCTCGCGCTCGGAAATGCCCTCTCTTCGCTCTTCGCCCATCACATCCCATCATCTTTGAAACTCTGTTTTTTTCCATCCCGTTTTTTCTCTTGTGTTTTTTCCCATGTGTAAGGCAGGGCTCAGGTTTGGTTTTTACCTACTCACGATTAGCAGTGTAGACATTTTCAAAACTCTTCTAAGCAGTGTCTTTTTTGGTAACACTGATGGATCAGTGTAACTTGAAGTTTTGAAAACTTTACCCAGAGGCATCAGTGTAGGTATATTTTTTACCCTGATTGTACTGTAGGTGCTAGCAGCAACCAAGCTCGAGGCCCAAATTGCGCAAGATTACTAATCCTGCGCAAGGTGGGCACTGGTGAATGGGGGTTGTTGTGAAAGTCGAGCGCAGTGGCTTGTCTGGTTTCGCTGCAACACTTGTTTTTTTCGCCGAGTCAGCAAGCTTCCCGGGGGGAACATGTGTTTGGGGACCTCGATCGAGTCCCAAATTTCGGAGTCGAGGGAGTTGACGTTTTGCAGTGAGTGCAGCTTCGACCAATCAGGTTGCAGTTTTTGCTTCGGGTAGGTTGCAAGCAGACACGGAGTGACGCGGTGTCGGTCGTCAGTACTCACGTGCTGCCGTCGTAGTGCATCATTACGAAATTGGGTGTACCGATATGAAATTTCGGAGAACCTTCATCTCGATAGGTAGAGTTTCCGAAGGGGGGGGGGGGGGGGGGGGGGGGGGGGGGGTGGTTCCCTGTACGCACTTCAGGGTAATTTTCGCTAAGGGAAATTTTACCCCAGAGCATCAGTGTGGCCTAAATTATTACACTGACATATCAGTGTAACACTAATCTCCCAAAAAATTACCCCAGCCCATCAGTGTAGACTGAAAATTTCACCCTTCTTATCAGTATAGAAGGGTAAATTACATTTCAAACCTGAGCCCTGGTGTAAGGCGGAGCATCCAAGTGAATTGGATGCTGCTCACTGTTTGGAAGAATACGGTACTTGAATTGAGAGTTGCATGTCGCAAACTTCGGCATTCTTGTGGGACCATCCAAGTGAATTGGATGCGACATTTTCTTATGTGCTCCTCGCTCAACATTGATCAGACTCGTTCAGTGTGAGATCCAAAAAAAAAACCACAAAACTTCCAACCGTAAAAAACATACTATCGAACACCGGATATACTAGGTGCATGTAGCGGTGTATAAGTAACATATGCTGCACTGATAGCAAGTGCAGGAAGTGAGTATGCTGTTAGGAAAGGCCAAGAGATGGAACATATGCTGCCACGTTTTTGCAGAGTTTCTCTCGCTCACTGCTTCCGCTGGTCAGCCCATCTCCCTGCGGGGGGCATGGCTCTGCCCTGTGCAGCAGCATGTACTTGTGTGTGTTGGCACGCCTGTGCAAGTATGTATGAGTGCATCAGCACGAGTGCAGCTCCAAGTTTGGACGAACCTCCTGGCGTGTAACGGCAAGGCCTAGGGGGAACCATGTCAGGCCTCCTCTTGCAGGGCCTGCTTGAACAATGCTGCCTCTCCTTCCTGCACATACCCAAATCGGCTAGACTGGCCTGGAGCCAGCACACCACCTCCTTCCACAACTCCGTAGTCATTGCCAGCTTGCACAAGTCCCCATGCACTGCAAGAGCAAGAGACACCAAGGGGTCAAATGGCGAGCCAGAAAGCTGCGAGCACGAGCAAAAGGCATCTGCACAGAAGGGTTGCGGTGGTGGAGGATGTGCTGGGTGGGGTGACTTGCCGGCGCATGTGTGCATGTACCTTGTAGGGTGCATGTACCTTGTAGGGTGCATGTGCCTTGTAGGGTGCATGTGTCTTGTAGGGTGCATGTACCTTGTAGGGTGCATGTGCCTTGTAGGGTGCATGTGCCTTGTAGGGTGCATGTACCTTGTAGGGTGCATGTACCTTGTAGGGTGCATGTACCTTGTAGGGTGCATGTGCCTTGTAGGGTGCATGTGCCTTGTAGGGTGCATGTACCTTGTAGGGTGCATGTACCTTGTAGGGTGCATGTACCTTGTAGGGTGCATGTACCTTGTAGGGTGCATGTACCTTGTAGGGTGAATGACCCTTGTAGGGTGCATGTACCTTGTAGGGTGCATGTACCTTGTAGGGTGCATGTACCTTGTAGGGTGCATGTGCCTTGTAGGGTGCATGTGCCTTGTAGGGTGCATGTGCCTTGTAGGGTGCATGTACCTTGTAGGGTGCATGTACCTTGTAGGGTGCATGTACCTTGTAGGGTGCATGTACCTTGTAGGGTGCATGTACCTTGTAGGGTGCATGTGCCTTGTAGGGTGCATGTGCCTTGTAGGGTGCATGTACCTTGTAGGGTGCATGTACCTTGTAGGGTGCATGTACCTTGTAGGGTGCATGTACCTTGTAGGGTGAATGTACCTTGTAGGGTGAATGTACCTTGTAGGGTGAATGTACCTTGTAGGGTGCATGTACCTTGTAGGGTGAATGTACCTTGTAGGGTGAATGTACCTTGTAGGGTGGAACCCTTGTGCCGTGAGGCGGATGTGGGCGAGCGTTGTGGTGCCGTCGTTGCGCAGCAGCACCATGTACTGCGCCATGCTGCGGCCCTGCACGTCCTGCCACTGTGCCGTCACCACCGTGGTCACGGATAGCTGCCACCGGGACGCTCCACTTCCTGCTGCTGCCGTGCTGCTCAGCCCTTGAGGCTGCTGTGCCCTATCCTCACCACCACTTACACCAGTGTCACCACTACCGCCTGTCCAGGGGTTCAAGCCTATGTTGAGGCGCTGTGCGGTGCGCATGGGGATGCGGCCATCTGGGGTGTCCTCTGCATCGCGCACTGATGCAATGAAAGACGTGGATGGGCCTTGTGTGCCTGCAGTAGACGTGCAAGGGTATGGAGTGCGACGGGCAGAGGAGCAACGCAAGGAGATGAATGTTGGACCATGTGAAGAGAGCTGGTGCTAGGTGTATGTGGCATGTGTCGGAGAGTGCAGGCGATACGTGTGCACAAGCATTGCTGCTGCAACAAGCTCTCTTTGGTAGATCATGGCATTCCCAACATGTCTGGCGAGTCTCTGGAGCCAGTTCTATGCACTCACCCGTGGAATCGGCTCGGTTGAATTTGGTATTGTCGCTGCCCGACTTATTGCTGCCAGATTTGTTGCTGCCCGACTTATTGCTGCCGGATTTGTCGCTGCCCGATTTATTGCTGCCTGATTTGTCGCTTCCCGACTTATTGCTGCCAGATTTGTTGCTGCCCGACTTATTGCTGCCCGAAGAATTCCCGTCTGACTTATTGCTGCCCGAGGAATTCCCGTCTGACTTCTTGCTGCCTGAATTACTCCCTCCTGACTTACTGCTGCCCGAATTCTTGTTGCCAGACTTGCTGCTGGCACCACTGTCCTTGTTGGTACCATTCCTATACTTCATGTCCCCACTGCCCCCACCGCCCTTCTTCCCATCTTTATCAGGCTTCTTCCCACTGCTACTCTTCTCTCCACCCCCCTTATCACCCGTGTTGCCACTCTTGCTCCCGCTGCCAGAACCCCCTTGCCCCCCGCCTTTCTTTCCGCTGCTTCCATCCCCTGTACCGTTGCCCCCACCCTTGCCCTTGCCTCCGCCCCAGTTCCCCCCGCCAGTCTGCTGGTTGGGCGGCAGGGGGACATCGCCGGCGAGGAGGCGGGCGAGCGCGCCGACGAGGGGGCTGTTGACGTAGGTGGAGACCTCGCTCTGCTGGTAGTTGTCGCGCGCGTCCTTGTACGCGTCCGTGTTGTCCGGCCCGCCCACCACTGCGCCCACCAGCACGTTCGCGTTCGCCGCCTGCGCACGCCGCGGGACGACCAGTGTTGCAGTTGCGATATTGAGCGGCCAGCATGGGAGGGAGGGAAGGGCGGAGTGTGGGAGGGCGAGGAGGAGATGGGACGGCAGGCGAACAAAAAGGAAGCGATGGGAAAGGAGAAGACTGAGTGGGGGGAAGGATAGGACAGCAAAGACTCCGTGAGGGCGCTGGACAACCACAGCATGGACACCTGCGCCGCATCACCGCGCTCTCCGCCCCGGCGAGAGCATGGACCGCCTCCCGTGCTCCTGGCGTGGCGTCATCACGGCGAGCGCGCTCACCTGCGTGTGGAACCACTTGAAGCCCTCCTCGCACCCCACGGGGCGCGCGTCCTTCTTCACCGACACGATGGACGCGCCGCGGTGGTGCACGCGCAGCGGGAACGACGCGCCGTAGCCGACCATGTAGCTCATGCGGCGCGGGTTGTCTCCCAGCAGGTAGCTCATCTGCGCGGCGGCACAGGGGGCGGGCGGACATGAAAACGACGCCCGCAGCAATGCACGCAGCAATGCACGCAGCAATGCACGCAGCAATGCACGCAGCAATGCACGCATCGCTCCCGCGCTCACTGCTCTCAATGCCTTCATCGCTCCCACTGTCGCGTATTCCCACCCTCTTTTCCACTCCCATGCCTACTGCTCCTCTCACACTCTCACCCCCCTCCCCCTCCCTTTCCCCCATCCTTCTGTCTCCGTCTCTTCCCATTCCCCTCCGCACGTGTGCCCCCGGAAGCGCCCATCAGCGGCGAGTCGCACCTGTTTTGCGACGAACTTCCGCATGGCGGCGGGGGTGACGGCAGTGGAGTCGCACTGCACGGACGCGACACGGGCGCCGTCGAGGTAGTCGCTGTAGACGGCGAGCAGCAGCGACACGGCCGTCACGTACTGCAGGTTGCTCCACGGCTGCACGAACAGCAGTCCGCCTGCACACCACGCGGGGGGGTGGGGGAGGATGGGGGAAAGAGCAGGGAGGGAAGAGTGTACATGGAGAGAGAGGGTGGCGAGAATGGGAGGGGAGCGGGGGAGCGCGGCAGCGTGGACGTGAGCGCTGTGGTCCGCGCGGAGGAGCGGCGGAAGCACATGGGCGCGCGCAAAGGCAGTCTGCCCACCCCTGTCCGTGGCTCACTGGGCGCGCGGCTCACCTGGCGTGCGGGTGCCGCGCACGACGGTGGCGCACACGAAGTCATTGGCGCGCAGCCGGTAGCCGTTCAGCCCGGGGTCGCGGGCTTTGAAATACACCTGCACCGCAACATCGCACGGGCACACCGACAGGGAGGCAAGGGGGAAGTGGATCAGCGAAGGCGGTTGAGGCGACAGGTTCGCGCGGAGGACGCGGCCAGGCAATGAGCATTACTGCTGGGATGCGCGCGGGCGCGTACCTTGGAGAGCAGGATCTGCGCGGCGGCGAACTTGTTGTCCCAGGAGAAGGCGTTCATGCTGGTGGTGGCGCCCTGCAGCGTCTCGTTGTTCTTCTTCACGAACGCCAGGTACTGCCCCTCGCCCGTCGCGCGCTGCAGCCACGCTGCCGCCCACAGCAGCTCGTCCTGCGGCCAGAAAGGGGAGGGGCAATCGAGCGCGCGAGCATTGAGAGTCTTACGAGAAGTGCGGGAGTGGCGAGACGACAGGGAGCGCCAAGCACCAGCCCGATCGGGTGGCGTGATGCACATGGCAATGGGCAGAGGTGGCGCGTGCGGGTGAGGAGCGACTCACATTGAATCCGGAGTAGGAGTTGTAGAAGGCGGCGGCGGACGGAATGCTGCTCACGTACGACTTGCGGTACGTGTTGGCGAAGGTAAATAGCTGCGCGCATGGCGTGGGTGTAGATGTCGGGGATATGGGGAGGGAAATTGAATGGAGGGAGGCACGGGGTGGAGGTACATGGCGGGGAGAAGAAAAAAGGAGAGGCGAAAGGGCGTGCGGGCATCACCCATCGTCCCCATGGCTCCACCACCTGCTTCTGCGGAAAGGGCGCGTGCCCGCCGCTCACAGCAACCACCTTCCACGCCGTGTCTCTCCGCACGCCCCCTCCCCTTATTCCTGCCCGTGCCCTCTCGAAAACAAATATATGGCGCTGCGACGCTAGAAGCGGGCGGCTGGACCGGCCATAGCGGAAGTCTACGCAGAGAAGAGTAGAGACGCAGCGGATGGAGGAAGATGCTATCCAGAATAACAGTCTAGAGATGAAGGGGGAAGACACAAACAAGAACGGAACAAGGCTAATCACGATAGGACGGAGGGCGACATGTCGCCAGTTGCGGAAGACGCAGGACGCACCCGTAGACGCTAAGGGGGAAAAGTTTTTGGGCAGGCCAGAAAAAAAAATTGGGGGGAAAAAATCAAGACCTAAGTAGAAATTGCCTCAAATGTTAGCTACGTCCATATCCCCCCCCTCCCCATGCCCCACAAAAGGCTTTTTTGGCTGTCCGTGCTTTTTTTTGCCTGCCCGGCCTTGCGTCTAACCCAGCGTCTAATCAGCCCTAGACGCGCGTCTAGCGTCTTAGACGCTGCGTCTAGACGCCAGCGTCTAAGACGCTAGACGCGTCTTTCGCATGTCGCATCGCAACTCGGCCTATGGCCTACATGCCCCGCTATGCTGATCGCAGTCCCTGACAGGGCTAGCAACTGTGCTATTCAAAGCTAACAGCTGCTTTTCCTGCAAATCAAAATCCAGGAATGCTTGCAGAGCGAATTCCTTCTTGTTCCTCTGCCCCTCCTGCGCACCTCCTTGGCGTGGCGAATCAGCTCCCTCGAGTACGCTTCGTCGCGCGACGCAAAGGCCATGCTGGCAGCGGCGAGGGCGGCGGCGGCTTCAGCGGCGACCTCGGTGCCGGGGTTCTTGGCGTCCAGGCGGAACGCCATGCGCGGCGTCGTCATGTCCTCGGGCCGTTGCCAGCACCGATGGTCCGACGGCCCGTCGCCCACCTGCCGTCCGCCAGGTGTTAAGCAGTAAGAGAGAGGGGAGGTTGAGGTTAATATTTGAGTTGCGTGTGGTAGTAAGAGGATGGTGGGAAAGTCGGCGGGTGAACAAGCACGCGGGAAAGTGGGTGTGAAGCACCCACTGCTCGTCTTAACGGCAGAGACTGGACGGGGCTGCGCGGTGGCAAGCTGCGCTGGACACTGCGAGCCAGCCATGGCCGCCCCCGGCACAGTCCGCGGCGCTCAGGAAGTGAGCGGCACAGTGCAGGCAAGTGAATTGCGCGGCAGTACCTGCGCGTACAGCACGTTAGGCTGCGGGTGCGCGCTGATGAAGAAGTCGGTGCCCCAGCGGATAGCGTCCAGCGCATGGTCCAGCTGTCCCTGCGCGGCAAGCGTACTCCCGTACTCCACCACGCTCCACGCGAGCGTGGTGACGGTGAACGCCATGGGCAGCCCGTACTTAATGTTGTCGCCGCTGTCGTAGTACCCCTTCGTCAGGTCCACCTGCCGCCGTGCGCACAGCGCAGCCAGGGCATTCCGGCATGGCATGAAAAAACGAGTCACTTTTTAGGAACTCCGCTGCTCTACTATGGGTTTGCACTTGGCTACGCTGTATGCATAACTTCATGCACGGGAAGGAATAGCACGCAGATAGAAAGCGGCGAGGAACATCAGATTGACCCAGAACTTGCAGCTGCCCAAAGCAGGGGCATATGAAGTGGAAACTTTCTCTCTCCATAATGTCCCAGACAATAATTCCCACCTCACACATCGTATGACTCACCCCGACGTCCTTTCCGTCCTTGAGGCCTGAGTCGCCGCGCCATTTGGCTCTCTGATTTGGGGGAAGCTTGCCGGAGCGCTGCTGCTCGAAGAACAATATGCTCTTTCGAAGCGCGTCCTCTAGATCAGCCGGTCTGACAAGCTCCACAGAGCTGAGCAGGATCAGTGATGGTATAAGACATGCCAAAATCGATCGAACAGGTGCTCGCCGGTGCATCGTTGTTCCTTGAGAAACTAACCGGGATGCGTGCTCGGGTGCCCTTACAGTATGCGACCTACTTCTCACTGAAGCTGTAGGCTATAGTGCGCACCGAGGAGCCAGGTGAGCTAGTCATCGCAGCAGGGAGTTTATTGAAAAGCAGTTGCTGACCTTGTGGGCATCGTCATATTACGAGACTAGCATCAGCCTAGCAGTGTAAGTTGGTTAGGGGCGAAATGGCGGGTGCTATTTGCATGATCTCAAGAAATGTGGCAGTTTTGCCTGTCTCTTCACTAGACGTGTTTGAAAGCGCATCCCCCAGCGTTCAGCATTTGGTTGGATTGAAGGCCAACCAAACACATTGGGCGCTACGAAACCCGACGGCGCCTTGCTCACCAATACTAACCACGTCGGATGTGCCCATTCACTCCACGACATCTGGACCAGTTTGGTCTTAGACAGGCCAAGCTGGTGTGGAACAAACCAAGTTTCCCTGTTCGGTTTAGCTTCGGATTCTAGTGAGGGACCACGTCAGCAGCCATGTGGTTGGCCTTCGCACCTTCCGTGCCTCATTTTTGGCGCAAGCCGTGGCACGGCAATCGTCTGCCAGTGTTCTCCACGATCATGGTTCTGGCAACGTGTGATGGGCAATGTGCGATGTGTGTGGGTGTGGACGAGTGTTTATGTTTCACGGGCGGACTCGTGACTCCACTGCTATTGTTGGGTGGTCTAGAAGTATGAATCAACCACCACTCCCACCAGTGTTTGCATCACAACCGCACACCACACCACTGAAATTGGACCATCAATGCTGTTAATTAGTGTAAAATCCAGTCATGCGCTTTATGCAAATTTTTGTGACATTCGCACTTTCGGAAGCCAAACAGAACCTCCACGATGTTGTTGGCTGGTGTAGAGAGGGATGGACGGAAATCGTTGGGTCAAAGTGGTCCTCTGGTTGATGGCTTGGCCCTTGGCTGCAGTCCGGCCGAACCGACACCAAAGCGCCCTTCATTCCTGTCTGGTGGTGGGAGAACGTGGGGGGGGCACACACACCTCAAGGACTTCGAAGGACTTCGCATCTACAATAATTTTCAAGGGGTGACAACGGCTGGTAGGCAATTAAATTCAACTACCGTACCACAAACTACTGACTGCATAGATCAGAAAATCCTTGGTTGCTTCCTAGACTTTATTAATGCTCCACATTGATTCAAATATTGTATCACTATCAGGGCCTATTTAATCAGTGTAATTTACCGTGCTATACTAATTACAAGGGTGAGATTTAGGGGTGACACTGATGTGTTTGTCAGAATTAGGAACGTAAGAATGAACTAGAATGAGGACAGTACAGGATTGTATAGTCCAAACCTTAAAATGTTGTACCCTTTAGGGTATGCCCCACTACAGTCTACAGAGCAAATACAATTTGACACACCCCCATAAGCAAAGTGGGGGGATAGCTGTCAAATGTTGATATTTGTGATAGTCTGTAGTGGGGTGCTCCTTAGTGAGTACAACTCAGTTAGGGTTTGCTATTTGTATCACCCACATTCCTAATCTCATCATTCTGTTGCCTTCTATTTCTGAGATGGTATCACGTGTCAAATTACAATTGTATCTCTAGGCTACAGTAGGGTCACTCCTTAGTGAGTACAACACTTTAGGGTTAGGTTTCCCCTACTTGTACTCATCTCTTGCCTAGTTCAATCATCCATTCCTAGTTCTATTCTTGACATGGTATCAGAGTAGGAACCGTCCATACATGGGCCCACCGTTCCGCCTAGTGATAGCGCCACGCCCTACACAGTAGCCAGCGCGCTGGCGCCCCTAGCTCTCACTGTCGCGACCCTTGCAACCCGTGCACTGCCCCTGCGACCGCGCTGCCCCTGCAGCCGTGCTCGCCCCTACGACAGTGCTGCCCCTGCAGCCGTGCTCGCCCCTGCTACCGTGCTGCCCCTGCAGCCGCGCCTGCCCCTGTGGCCCGCGCGCTGCCCCTGCAGCCCGTACGTCGCTCCTGCAGCCCGTACGTCGCCCCTGCAGCCCGTTCACGCTGCCCCTGCAGCCCGTTCACGCTGCCCCTGCAGCCCGTTCACGCTGACCCTGCAGCCCGCGCGCAGACCTACCGAGCCGCGCGTCGCCTCTGCAGCCCGTCCGCGTGGCCCCTGCAGCCCGCGCGTCGCCCCTGGAGCCCGCGCGCCGCCTCTGCGGCCCGTTCGCGCCGCCCCTACAGCTCGCGCGCGGACCTGCCGAGCCGCGCGTCGCCTCTGCAGCCCGTCCGCGAGGCCCGTGCAGACCGCGCGTCGCCCCTGGAGCCCGCGCGCCGCCTCTGCGGCCCGTTCGCGCTGCCCCTACAGCTCGCGCGCGTACCTGCCTCGCGCGTCGCGCTCTGCTGCAGCACGCGCGTCGCGCCCTAAGGCAGCCCGTCGCGTCGCGCTCTGCTGCAGCCTGCGCCAGCGCCCTGCCCTGCGCCAGCGCCCTGCCCTGCGCCCGCGCCCTGCCCTGCGCCAGCGCCCTGCCCTGCGCCAGCGTCCTGCTATACCCTAAATATAATTAAATTGTTTATAAAAAAAAAAAAAAAAAAGGGCCCTAGGTGCTTCTGCCCCAGGAGCTACTGCCTACTACTGCCCTGCTGTGGCCGCGCGCCGCCCTGCTCTGGCTACACGCCGCCCTGCTCTGGCCGCGCGCCGCCCTGCTGCTCTTACTGCTGCTGCTGCTACTCGTGCTACTGGGAGTGGTGGAGGTGCTGCTGGGAGTGCAGGAGGTGCTGCTGGCGCTGTAGGAGCTGGAGGTGCTGGACCTACTCCTGACCGTCACTGTCTGTCATGGCCACTTCCGCGGCAGTTGCTGCGGCCAGGGGTGGACAGCAGCGGACACTGCTTCTCCCGGACGACCCCACCCCTCGGCAGCTTCGTGAGTGGGTTATTCAGCGAGGTCGTCCTGGTGGTGGAGGTTATCGTTCTGTTAGGACTGCTGCTCTAGGTGCTAGTGAGTCTGCTGCAGCTCTAGGTGCCCGTGCGTCTACCGCCGCTCTAGGTGCTAGTGCGTCTACTACCACAGGTCCTGCCTCAGATGAGGTCTTGCACACTTTCACGCTTGACTCAGGCGCGTCACGTTGCTTCTTTCGTGATTGCACCACAGTCACACCACTCACAGCACCTGTCCCAGTCTCACTGGCTGACCCCTTTGGGGGCCCAGTGGTTGCGAGAGCCTCCACGGTCCTCCCTTGTCCAGCACTCCCCTCCGGCTCTTTGTCAGGTCTCCACCTCCCCACGTTCTCGACGAACTTGGTGAGCAATGCTGCCATTCAGGATGTCTGGGTTGATACCTTTATTCCTGGAGGGCAGCGTGTGGCGATCTGTACGTGCTCCCGGACTGGCCGTCACCTGGCTACGTTCACTCGAAAGCCTGGGTCTAGTCTGTGCACACTGACCACTGCGTCTGCACAGGTGGCTGAGTCAGGTCAGGTAGCTGCGTCGAGTCGAGCGTCTGCGTCAGGGCAGTTAGCTGCGTCTTGCTCGTGCAGAGTACTCACGCACGAGACTCAGCGCTGGCACCACCGTCTTGGTCACCCCTCCCTGCAGCGTCTGCGCGGCATGCACTCCCGGCTCCTGGTCTCTGGCCTTCCTGAGACCCTGCCCCCCCTCCCGCGCTCACTTGCGCCGCCGTGCCTTCCTTGCGTCGAGGGGCGGCAGCGCGCCGCTCCTCACTCCTCCGAGTTTCCTCCGACCACTGCTCCTGGACGTGTGGGGCCCGGCCCCCGTCGGTGGGACGGACCAGGAGCGCTACTTCCTGCTGGTTGTTGACGACTACACACGCTACACCACAGTCTTCCCCTTGCGTCGCAAGGCGGACGTCAGCGGTGTTTTGATCCCCTGGATCCGTGCTACTCGTCTCCAGCTACACGAGCGCTTTCAGCAGGACTTCCCAGTCCTGCGTCTGCACTCTGACAGGGGTGGTGAGTTCTCTTCTGGCGTCCTTGAGACGTTCTGCCAGGATGAGGGCATCGCCCAGTCGTTCACGCTTCCGGCCTCTCCGCAGCAAAATGGGATCGCTGAGCGTCGCATTGGCCTGATCATGGAGGTTGCTCGTACCTCCATGATCCATGCGGCTGCTCCCCATTTCCTGTGGCCGTTTGCGGTCCGATACGCCGCGCATCAGCTCAACCTCTGGCCCCGTGTCTCTGCTCCAGAGACCTCGCCCACACTCCGTTGGACGGGACAGCCTGGTGATGCGTCGTCGTTTCGGGTCTGGGGCGATACCAAAGCGAGCAAGCTCTCTCCTCGCACTCTCCGCTGTGTCTTCCTGGGCTTCCCCACCGACGCTCCACCCTGGGAGTTCTACCACCCTGCCTCGCGTCGTGTTCTGTCCTCTCAGGACGTCACCTTCGACGAGTCGGTCTGTTACTACCAACTTCACCCGCACGCGTCCCACCCGGTCCCCCTTGCACCCCTCTTCCTGGTACCAGTCCCCCCCCCGGTAGACCCCCTCCCCCCACAGGGTCCTGCTCCCTCAGGTGTGTCCCAGGTAGACCCACCACCCTTGGATGAGCCAGTTGAGATCTCTTCTGACTCCTCTGACTCACCTGAGGGGGGTGACGCCGTAGCCGACGACACGGCGACCACTCGCCGCACTCCTCGCTTGGCGACCCCCCCGGGTTTCCCGCCACAGCCGTCTTCGTCGCCTCTGCAGCCTGCTGCTGTGGACTCTGGAGCTGAGACTACTGGAGCTGGGACTGGGGGTGGTGAGTCTGGGGGTGCCCGCTCTCCTCGTCTGGCTACCCCCCCCGGGTTCCCACCTCTGCCGTCTTCGCCGCCTCTGCAGCCTACTGCTGTGGACACTGGAGCAGAGACTGAGGGTACTGAGCCTGAGGGTGCTGGGACTGAGGGTGCTGAGATTGAGGGTGCTGAGACTGAGGGTGCTGGGACTGAGGGTGCTGAGCATGAGGGTGCTAACTCTGGGGGTGCTGAGACTTCGGGTGCTGACTCTGGGGGTGCTGCGAGTCCTTCTGGAGG